CAACTGCTTTGGGAGACGGTGGTCAGGCATCCGGACAACGTGGCCGGTCCAGCGGAGTTGATGGCAGAGGACCATCGCTTCAATGCTGGTGGTCTTTGCTTCTTCCAGCACGCTGATGTTTGTCCGCTTATCTTCCCAAGAGATTTGCAGGATTTTCCGGAGGCACTGATGGAATCGTTCCAGGAGTTGCATGTGACGTCTGTAGACAGTCCACGTCTCACAGGCATATAGCAGGGTTGGGAGGACAATAGCTTTATAGACAAGCACCTTGGTATCCCTATGGATGTCCTGGTCCTCAAACACTCTCTGCTTCATTCGGGAAAATGCTGCACTTGCAGAGCTCAGGCGGTGTCAATGTTGACTTTGGTGAAGAGGTGGCTGCCAAGGGAGTGGAAATAGTCAACATTTTCTAATGTTACACCATTAAGCTGTATTACTGGCGTTGGAGAGGGATTGGCTGGTGACTGCTGGAACAGCACTTTGGTTTTCTCGATGTTCAGTGACAGGCCAAGCTTTTGTATGCTTCTGCAAAGGTGTTTAGAGTGGCTTGTAGATCTTCTTCTGAATGCGCACAGACGACATTGTCATCAGCATACTGGAGTTCTATAACAGATGTTGTTGTAACCTTGGTTTTGGCTTTCAGTCTGCTGAGGTTAAACAGCTTGCCATCTGTCCGATAGATGATTTCCACTCCGGTGGGAAGCTTCCCATCAACAAGGTGAAGTATCATAGCGATGAAGATGGAGAATAGAGTTGGGGCAATAACACATCATCCCTGTTTGACACCTGATTCTTTGTGCTATTTTATAGTATTTGTGCTATTTCTTAGGCAGGGGTGATAGAATTATAGTGAAGGTAAAGGTTTCCCCTGACATCAAGTCTAGCCGTGTCCCAGTATGGCTAGATTTAGAATCTCCCCTCTTCGCGGGGTCCCTTCTTGCAATGGCAGACCTCTTTATGGGGTCCCTGCTGGTATTTCCAGGCCTCTTTATGGGGTCCCAGTTGGCATTCCTAGGCAGCTTTATTGAGCATGGCTAGATTTAGAATCTCCATGTTTAAGCTGAAGAGCCAGCGTTGTCCGTAGACACCTCCACCGTCATGTGGCTGGCATGACTGCATGGAGCACTGTTACCTTCCCATCGAAGCGGTACCTGTTGATCTACTCACATTTTCATGTTTTTGAACTGCTAGGTTGGCAGAAGCTGGGCCTAACAATAGGAGCTCACTCCACTCCCTGGATTCAAACCACCAACTTTTCGGTCAGAAAGTTCAGCTCAGCGGTTTAACCTGCTGCACCACTAAGGGCCTGAATTTTAGACACCAGTATAAGTGCATGGAGATATATATATAATACTGAACACCCTCTGTAAGTTTATTAACTGTAGTAATTAGATTAATAATGGCCAGATTGGTGTCGCTATGTTAATCTTTTGTAGCAGAACCATGAATCGTGTGGCACCCAGCGGATTTAGCAGATTAATTGTGGCATGAGCTTTAGTGAAGGAGAGCCAATTTTGTCAGGTGCCTTTCACTTTGGAGACATGCTTGTCTTATTCAGCACAGACCTTACTTGATTTTCGGCTGAATAATGACTTCAAGCATTTATTCCTTTATATGGATGAGTTTGAGGACTCTAAGCAGCCTTGGGTAACATGCTGGCCAGAGAACCCATTGCAGGAATGAAGGCTATGGTGGGAAAATAAACATCAATAACGATGAAATCCAAGAAGTACAGAAAATATTTGGTAGCCTACATTGTAATTTCAGTTCTGAGAGTACTCTCAGTTGTCTTGTCAAAGCAATAATAGGGATGCTGAATTGAGAGAGACCAATGTTGCCGTTTACAAAGGTTGCAGGAGGAGAAAAACATTTGGAGTGAACCCCTAAAACCAGCCAGTGAAGGTAAGCATGTGGAATGTCCATGCAGGGCTGGCCATTGAGGAGAGAAATTGATAATTAAGAGAGAAATTATTTTATATTTATTTATTTCCTATATTTATACCCCACTCACCCCCCGAAAAGGGGACTCAGGGTGACCTAATAGAAGCATTGTATGACACTAGCATCATAAAAACAACCACAGTACAATCAAAGTATTAAAAATCAAAACATCAATTAAAACAATTAAGACACATCCATTAAAATCGAAATCCAAAAACCAATCCAGGTCAATTAATTGCCATAAGTTCTGTGATCACTGATCAAACGCTTGGTCCCATCACCAGGTCTCAATTTTCCTTCTAAACGACAAGAGGGAGGTAGCCAATCTGATATCTCTAGAGAGGGCATTCCATAGGTGGGGGGCCACTGCCGAGAAGGCCCTGTCTCTCGTCTCCATCAACCGCGTTTGCGATAGTGGTGGGATCAAGAGCAGGGCCTCTCCTGAAGATCTTAAACTTCGTGATGGTTCGTGGTAGGAGATACGTTCAGACAGGTAGTCTGGCCCAGAATGACATGTAATGGCTGAGAGAGAGAGAGAGAGAGAGAATACTCAAACTCATCTCATCTGGATAGATTGTTTCCTGGTTCAAAGCAAGAAGCTATTTTTGAGCCTGAGAGACAGACATGAGAGCTACACTTACAATTCAGTGAAGAATATAAAGATTTTCATGTTGCCAGCCTAAATTCATGTGTTGGTTTCAAGTGGAACAGACCCATTGAGTCAAAGGAAAGGAGAGAAGTCTTGCTTTGGATTTCAGCACATGCATTCTAGACAGGGCAAATATTCAGGTTTCAATCAGTATAAGTTAGGATCTCTCTATAAACTTGAATTTGAGGTTAGAGATGCTCACTTCTGTTCCCCAGTTTGCTCTCTCCCCATCATAGAAGCTGTTTGCAAAACATTTTGTTGAGATACCTCATCTATTTTGCCTACGACAGCTGGTTGAAACATTGTTATCTACAGTATTAGCAAAATATGCGTGTGACCGTTACTTTTCTTCACTATTGCATGGGATGTGCGTTGCTGTTGTTGTTCATTCGTTCAGTCATTTCCGACTCTTCGTGACCTCATGGACCAGCTCACGCCAGAGCTCCCTGTTGGCCGTCGCCTCCCCCAGCTCCTTCAGAGTCAATCCAGTCCAAGGATGCCATCCATCCATCTTGCCCTTGATCGGCCCCTCTTCCTTTTGCCTTCCACTTTCCCCAGCATCATTCCCTTCTCCAGGCTTTGCTGTCTCCTCCTGATGTGGCATTCAAAGGACTTCAACTTGGTCTCTAGTATCCTTCCCTCCAATGAGCAGTCGGGCTTTCTTTCCTGAAGTATGGACTGGTTGGATCTTCTCACAGTCCAAGATACTCTCAGGACTTTCCTCCAGCACCACAGTTCAAAAGCATCTCTCTTCCTTCACTCAGCCTTCCTTCTCGTCCAGCTCTCACATCCGTAGGTGACTATGGGGAATACTATTGCTTTAACTATGCGAATCTTTGTTGCCAGTGTGATGTCTCTACTCTTCACCATTTTGTCGAGATTGGACATTGCTCTCCTCCCAAGAAGTGTCTCCTGATTTCCTGGCTGCAGTCTGCATCTGCACTCATCTTTGCACCTCGAAATACAAACCCTGTCACGGCCTCCACATTTTCTCCCTCTATTTCCCAGTTGTCAATCATTCTTGTTGCCATAATCTTGGTTTTTTTGACGTTTAGCTGCAACCCAGCTTTTGCGCTTTCTTCTTTCACCTTGATTAAAAGGCTCCTCAGCTCCTCCTCGCTTTTGGCCATCAAAGTTGTGTCATCTGCATTTCTAAGGTTGTTAATGTTTCTTCCAGCAATTTTCACCCCAGCCTTGCATTCATCAAGGCCCGCATATCCTCGCATGATGTGTTCTGCATATAAGTTGAATAGGTCGGGTGAGAGTAGATGACCGTGCCGTATGCTTTTCCCAGTCTTGAATCAGTCTGTTGTTCCGTGGTCAGTTCTGACTGTTGCTCCTTGGTCCTTGTACAGATTCCTCAGGAGAGAGGGAAGGGGGCTTGGGATGCCCAGACCACCAAGAACTTGCCTCAATTTATGATGATCCACACAGTCAAAGGCTTTAGAAGAGTCAATGAAGCAGAAATAGATGTTTTTCTGAAACTCCCTGCCTTTCTCCATTCTCCAGCATCCGGATATTGGCAACTTGGTCTCTGGTTCCTCTGCCTTTTCTAAACCCAGCTTGTCCACCTGGCCACTCTCTCTCCATGTCTTGCTGGAGTCTTCTTCCTTGCAGGATCTTGAGCATTCCCTTCCTGTCATGAGAAATAAGGGCCATTGCACGGAAATTGGAGCAGTCTTTCGCATTTCCCTTTTTTGGTATGGGGATAGAAATGGATTTTTTTCCAGTCTGATGGCCATTCTTGTGTTTTCCATATTTGCTGGTATATGGCATGCATGGGATGTGTGCTATGTGCCTTATTCGTTCACTTTAAAATTAATTTGATGGCAGTAATTGGCAGGAATCAGTGTTGTGTATGCCTCTGACTTGGCACAAAGGATTTCCTTGAGACAAAAGGACTTTTTGTTGGGAGTAGATTAGTTGTTCTATACCAGGAATTAAGTCTGGTGTTGCACCTAATTCTTCTTAGATGTGTACCCAATTTCAATAGCTAAGCGAAGCAGAAAGGAAAAGTATAGAGAAGCGTTAGATGTTCCAGCTTGTACCTGTTTCATTCTGCTGCTTTCATTTTTTTAAAAATTATGCTCCATACCCTGAATAGTTGTTATTGTTGTAAGGAACAGGTGTGTAGCCCTGCTCATGGAAAGGTAGATGAATCCCAGAAATCCAGTGGGTGAATTTCGAGTGCATATGTTTGGCTCTTTTGTAGTTCTGAGTAATTCTGAATGGGTTTAGCAGTGAACAGCCTCACAAGTCTGGAGATCAGCGGGCAGAGGTCTGTTACTGAAACATCTTATTCCAAAATGTAAACATCTGAGAGTTACAAAACTGGTGTGGGACACGTGTCCCTTGGAGGCCATGAGTGACTTTTGGGCAGATCAAGGAAAATAGTTGCAACTTAATTTAAAACACCTCTTCCTTTTTTCCAGGTGCTGGAGAAAATCTGGAAAACACTATGGCAGCCTTTCGCCAGTAAGTATCCCAAGACCGATTCTTTCCCCTTGCTTCACTGCCATGGGGTTTGGTCATGGATTAAAAGGGTTAATTAAAGATTGAAGTGACACCTGATCTGCCCTGATTAAGGAGAGCTTCTAATCCTCGCTTCTCCCAAGAAGACCACGTTCAGGTTAGGTGACAAGCTTGTCATGGACCCCAGGCTCCCAAGATGTGGGACACATCCTCCCCACATCCTCACAGCGATCCAAGGGTGTGTTCCCTTTATTTGTCAACCAACTTGGGGACCCGACGTTGCCCAGGTTTTTTGAAAAAGGCAATTTTAAGGGTACAAAATGCATACGGCTGTGGGTGAACTTCAACTCACATTATGCCAGGTTAGCCCTGGGAAACTCCATTAGTACTTAAAGTTTGTTATTTTGGGCAAGTTTGCTCTGGATGCATCATTGGTGGAGTTCAGTGTGCTCTCTGGCTACAGGGTAAACTACAACTCCCACTATGGTGATTCAGTCCCCTCAAACCCATGAAACTCATGGGAAAGGGGGAGCAGTAATGAACAATTCCATACAAAGTCTTTGGTTGAATGGAAAACAGACTCTTAAACTATATGCAAAAGGCCACACAGCAAAATGGAACAATATTGACTTTCCTGCTTGTCCTTTGACCTTTGCAGTCTGTGTTTTGCCATTTGAAAAATCAGATTGGAATTACTTTAACAGCTTTTACCATCAGCTGAAGGTTTTCTCAACACAGATATAGCTCTGGACAACTTGCAGGGAAAAAATTAAGATGTTATTTAAAGAACATGCTAAGCTTCTGTATTACATTGCAGGGCTAATGCCATGGGTTACGACTGGGTTGGTTCCAAAATATTAAAATGCCAAACATGATAAATCAAGGTAACTTCTAAGGTTGGAACCTGAACAAAAAAAAAATACCAGATGTAAATGAAATAATTTCTCCTTAAAAGCTTGTAGTGGAAAGAGAGAAAAACATTCATTTTTATTTTGGGTTAAGAAAGCTGAATCACATTTCCTAGGCTCAAATTAAATTCCAGAGAGTTAGACTGGAATTTCAACTATCCAGGTTCTACTTCGGAGTTGGAGAGAAGTCACACTAGACATCATGAAAGGACTGCACTCCTTTTGGGCTACAGTTTTTATCTTCTATCTATACGTATAGTGAAAATATGTATGTATGTGTGTGTGCATGTGGCTGGGGTGTCCACTTACACAGACAAGCTCCTGCCTCCACAAACAGTTCTAGCTCCTACAACTCAGGAGACACCAAAGGCCCTCCTTCCAATGACATTGCAGGTTACAGTGAGCGCCATAGTGACCAGCAAAAAAATACTGTGGATGTCTTTGGGGAAAATTCACCTTGATTTGGGAGAGTTGTAGTTCACCTACATCCCGAGAGCACTGTGAACCCAAAAACCGATGGATCTGGACCAAACTTGGCACACAGACCTGATATCTCGAAAGTTGATTACTGGAGGGGGATGGGGGCAGGGAGAGGGGGAACTGACCCTTTCTGGTTGTAGGTCATCCACAACCAGATAAACTGTGACCTCTACCAATGATGGACCTGGACCCAATCTGGCACACAGAACCCCCATGACTAACTCAACCTACTGCAAAGGTCAAAGGACAAGCAGAAAAGTCAATATTTTAAGGAGAAATTATTTTGTTTACATCTGGTAGTTTGCTCTGTGGCCTTTTGAACCAACCTGGACACAGCATTTTATTTGAGAACACAGAAATGCTGGACCACTCTCACAACCACCATGTCAGGCTACACAGAGAAGCCATTGAAATCCACAAGAGGCATGTGGACAATTTCAACAGAAAGGAGGAAACTATGAAAAAAGAACAAAGTCTGGCTCCCAGTATTAAAAAAAACTCTAAAATTACAACAGCACAACAACAGAGAGGAAACAAACAAGGACATCTAATCACCTCTCAACAAAAGTTTGCTCTAGGCACTGTCAGGCCATTATATGCTAATCAAGGTGGTCAGTTGAAACATTCACACCTAGCTCCAGCAGACAAGAGTCCTTTGTCTCACCTGGTCATTCCACAGATATATAAACCCTTTTTCCTAGTTCCAACAGACCTCACTACCTCTGAGGATGCTTGCCATAGATGCAGGCGAAACGTCAGGAGAGAATGCCTCTAGACCATGGCCATATAGCCCGAAAAAAACCTACAACAACCCAGCTTTTGCATATAGTTTAAGAGTCTGTTTTCCATTCAACCCAAGACTTGGTGTGGAATTGTTCATTATTGCTCCTCTTTTCCCATGAGTTTCATGTACTGCAAAAGGTCTACTTGGAGGCTGTGAAATGAAATGTGTAGAAAGGGGCTTGGATTGTAGTGTCCAAGACCCCCTCTGGAGCTAGCTGCTTTCTGTAAGAATCCCAGCCTTATTGACAGCCTAAATACTCTGCATTTCTGGCCCTCAGATGTACTTCCAGGCTGTTCAGAAAATGTGTGGGCTCATAGCAACGTGAACATAATAATTTCAAAAGCAATCTATCTTGGAGTGCTTTTCCCCCCAAAGACCTTTCAAATCGCCCATTATACAATGGCAGGTTACACCGGCTTACTGAGAGGTTCCCAACAAGAGAAAAGCACCATTCTTAGAGGGGGACCTGCCATTCCGTGGAATTATCCCACCCTCCCTGCTGCAACTCTTTCTCTGGGCTTGGTATTGTTGCAGTAAGCCCATTTCCTTCCAACGCTTTCAAAACTGACTGAGGATTATTGAAACTTATTTAGGAGCTTGTGCTCTTCAGGGGAGCAAAGTGGGGTGGGTTTAGCACAACATCGAAACTTCCCTGTCCTTTAAATCTATTTTGTAGAATAATATGTGCTCGTGGTTCAGTCCTTTTCTTGAAACTGTGTGATTGATTGACTATTTCTTGAGAAACTTGCTTGAGAAACCGCAAGTCGCTTCTGGTGTGAGAGAATAATAATAATAATCGTCATCATCATCTTTATATATACCCTGCCACCATCTCCCTCCACGGGGACTTGGGGCAGCTTACATGAGGCCAAGCCCATACAGCAAATTACAATACAGTAAAATGCAATAAAATTAAAATAAAAACCGAAATGCAAGCAACAACACAGTAAATTACAGAAACGTTATGAATACAATAAGCAATGAATACAAAACATAAGAATGCAATGAACAATTACAATAACAGCGAGTGGGCCGCATGTACAATAAAATGATTAAAAACTCAGGATGAGATAAAAGGAGCAGATTATTTGCAAGGGAGAGCTCATAGGGAAACGAGATAGAATCATAAAATGAAAGAGTTGGAAGAGACCTCATGGGCCATCCAGTCCAACCCCATTCTGCCAAGAAGCAGAAATATTGCATTCAAATCACCCCTGACAGATGGCCATCCAGCCTCTGTTTAAAAGCTTCCAAAGAAGGAGCCTCCACCACACTCCGGGGCAGAGAGTTCCACTGCTGAACGGCTCTCACAGTCAGGAAGTTCTTCCTCAGGTTCAGGTGGAATCTCCTCTCTTGGAGTTTGAAGCCATGGCTCCATTGCGTCCTAGTCTCCAGGGAAGCGGAAAACAAGCCTGCTCCCTCCTCCTCCCTGTGGCTTCCTCTCACATATTTATACATGGCTCTTATCATATCTCCTCTCAGCCTTCTCTTCTTCAGGCTAAACATGCCCAGCTCCTTAAGCCGCTCCTCATAGGGCTTGTTCTCCAGACCCTTGATCATTTTAGTCGCCCTCCTCTGGACACATTCCAGCTTGTCAATATCTCTCTTGAATTGTGGTGCCCAGAATTGGACACAATATTCCAGGTGTGGTCTAAACAAAGCAGAATAGAGAATGGGGAGCATGACTTCCCTAGATCTAGACACTATGCTCCTATTGATGCAGGCCAAAATCCCATTGGCTTTTTTTGTCGCCACATCACATTGGTGGCTCATGTTTAACTTGTTGTCCACGAGGACTCCAAGATCTTTTCCACACGTCCTGCTCTTGAGCCAGGCCTCATTGTCCCCATTCTGTATCTTTGCATTTCGTTTTTCCTGCCTAAGTGGAGTCTCTTGCATTTGTCACTGTTGAACTTCATTTTGTTAGTTTTGGCCCATCATCTCTCTCATCTGTCAAGATCCCTTTGCGTCCTGCTCCTGTCCTCTGGAGTCTTGGCTCTGCCTCCCAATTTGGTGTCGTCTGCAAACTTGATGATCCTGCCTTCTAACCCTTCATCGAAGTCATTAATGAAGATCCTGGAGCAGGACCGGGCCCAGGACGGAACCCTGCAGATGGCACTCCGCTCGTCACTTCTTTCCAGGATGAAGAGGAGGAAGCCTTGGGGAGAATCACCCTCTGGGTTCGTCCATTTAACCAATTCCAGATCCACCTCACCGTAGTTTTGCCTGGCCCACATTGGACTAGTTTCCTTGCCAGAAGGTCATGGGGGACCTTGTCAAAGAAGGCCTTCCTGAAATCCAGGTACGCTCCATCCACGGCATTCCCCGCATCTACCCAGCTTGTAACTCTATCGAAGAAAGAGATCAGATGAGTCTGGCATGACTTGTTTTTGATAAATCCATGTTGACTCTTAGCGATGACCGCATTTGTTTCTAAGTGTTTGCAGACCACTTCCTTAACAATCTTTTCCAGAATCTTGCCTGGTATCGACGTGAGGCTGACCGGACATTGGTCATTGTTTGGGTCATCCTTTTTTCCCTTCTTGAAGATTGGGACCACATTGGCCCTCCTCCAATCTGCTGTTGAATAAGAGGTGGCTTTAGCAGTTCCTTGCTCTGAAAACATAGCGTGTTTATAGCGTGCTGAACGTGGATAGGATTTTGGTTTCCGCTACATCAGCTTTCCCCCTTGCTTTAAGGGTGATGCCAAGTTGCTGAGCTGCATTTGTACCTGATAGCATATCATTAACCACCCAGCCCAAGAACTTAGTTATCTCACAATAACATTTGGGCTTGCCAACTGCAACATCTCTGCAAACTGCCAAAGGCCGTCCTCTTTCCCCAGGGGCACTGATAACCTTTTGGATGAGCAGCAGGTACATAGGATTGCCATTGTTCCCACCAGGCTTGCCCTCCCGTTTACTTTTTTTCCAGTCCATTGCTCTCTCGAATAACAAATTCAAATCACTTTGGAAGGAAGCGGTGGACCAGCTGAAGTATAAGGAAGTGGGTCCTACAACTTTGGTGGCTGTCTCTTTTACTTTCGCATAGTGATTACCATATATACTTGAAGATAAGCCGAGTTTTCAGCCCTTTTTTTGAGCTGAAAAAGCCTCCCTTGGCTTATAATGGGGCCAAGGCCAGGCAGCAGAGCCTGGAGGCAATTGCTTGCAATATATGATCTATTTCTCTCTCCTCTTCCCTTCCCTTGACAGTGTGTTTTCTTTTCCAGTCAAAAGGGAGGGAAGGAGGGAGACATATTTCATGTCCTCCTTGTTTGTATGGCTCTCTTTCAGGCCCACCCAATTTCCTGGTTTTGTGTATGTGTGTGTGTCTAAATGTATTAACTTTATACGTGCATTATTGTTCCCTTGGAAGTTTTCTCCTCATATGTTTGCAGGTCTTTCCATGACCCTGTATCTATATGTATACATTATTTTTATATGAATTTTCCCCTCACATGTTTGTAAGTCCCTGCATATTTGATATAGATATAATTATATCTATATAGAAAGATATGAATATAGATATATAGGGCTTGCAAATATTGCAGGAGGGAAATGCACATATAGAGAAAGAGGATTTGCAAATGTTTCAGGGGGAAATGTATATGTAAAATTAGTATATATAATTATAGATCTATATCTAGCTTTGCATTGTTTATATAGGCATGTTTGCCTATTACTATGTTGGAAGTCATTCTGAGTCCCCATGGGGAGATAGGGCAGGAGACAAGTGAAGTTCTATTATGATTATTATTATTATTATTAAGTTATTTTGATACCATACTATTTTTCTTTGAAATAGCTAAATATCCAAAAACATTGAACCTCCTGATGCCTCAATTTATGTAATTTTATTGGTATTGATTTTTATCTTGAAATGGATCCATAACAGCTGCATTTCCCACCCTCGGCTTATACTCGAGTCAATACGTTTTCCCAGTTTTTTGCGGTAAAATTAAGTGCTTCAGCTTATACTCGAGTATATACGGTATATTTCTTCTTTGCTATTCTCCTAACACTCCTAATAAATCAATAACAATGGCAAAGGGTGAATTTATTTTTCCAAATGGGACAAGGAATGTGGAAGCAAATCCCTTTTGTGAAAGTAGCTTTCCAAGCTCTGTTTTTCCTCCTCCGCCTTGTTCCCAAAGACCAGAGCTCAGGTTTTGTTGTCTCCCTTCAGTGCCGTCAATGTGGGGACAGACATGCTGGAGCTTGACTGCCACTTGACCAAGGATGAAGAAGTTGTGGTCTCGCATGACGAGAACCTCAAGCGCTCCACAGGGGTGGACGTCAACATTTCGGACGTCAAATACGCAGTAAGTTGGAATCACTATCCTCTTCCAATCTCCTACCTGTGGGTGGGGACCCTTATGAAACATACTGTGTTTGAGTTAATACGGCATTGTGATTTTTCTTTTTCAAAGGAGCTCCCACCATACCTCTGCCGGTTGGATGTCAGCTTTCAGAAAGGTAATACTGGGAGGAATTTGGCTGCTTTCAAAATATTTTTGTTTTGAGCAGTACTTTGTTGTTGTGTGCGAGCCATCATGTATGTGCAATTTATTCAACATATTTCCAGATTTTCAGATTTTAAATTGATGTATATTTCCCAGTTTTGTCAGGTTTTCTCCAGCTGAATCTGTTTTCTTCAAAAGGGTCAGCTTTAGCTTCTTCTCCCAATGTGTACATTGCTCAGCCATCTTGTTTCCCCAATTGGTTTGCTCTTTTGACCTCTTTTAGGGACCAGAATGCAGTTGACAAATGGGGTCGGATGGTTTGTGAATGTGTTGACATACAGTTCCAAAGGGCATGTGTGTTGATGGAGGCCCTCTATCAGTTTAACCCTAAGGGATGGTATAAGATAGTAGCAGGTCAATGGATAACGGGGTTTGCAACATGGTGGTTTTCTAACTGACCAGGGAAATGTAGGTTTAGGAGCTGTCTCCATTCAGGAATTGGCCACTGGGATTTGAATGCACCAGGACTGTGGCACAGTTGGCTGGGAGTCATCTGCATTAAGATCACTACTGACTGAAAGGTCATGAGTTCGAAGCCAGCCCAGGTCGGAGTGAGTGTCCGACCAATTTGTGTAGCTTGCTGTCGATCTTTGCAGCCCGAAAGACAGTTGCATCTGTCAAGTCGGAAATTTACGTACCGCCTACGCAGGAAGGCTAATTTAATTAATTAATTAATTAATTAATTTAGAGCTTTTATAACCCGGTCTTCTCGACCTCTGAAGAGGGACTCAGGCTGCTAACAGCAGAAAATTCGTACACACATAGAATAAACATAATAGCATCATAATACATTAATACAAAAATACATTAAAATACAGATCATACAATTACAAAAGCCAGGTTGTCAGAATAAAATCACAAATTTCAACTAATTTAACTAATTTATGATGCCATAAAAATCTCAAGCAAGCCTGCAAAGAATGAGGAAGTACTTCATCAGTGTCACAAATGGACGGTGAAGCAACAGCTCCCCTGGTGGCCAGAATACGCTCATGAAAAGTTAAATTGCCACTGTGTTTATATATGTTGTGTGTCTATGGCATTGAATGTTTGCCATGTATATGTACATTGTAATCCACCCTGAGTCCCTTGCGGGGTGAGAAGGGCAGAATATAAATACTGTCAATAAATCAGCTTCCGAGCACAATTCAAACTGCTGGTGTTGACCTATAAATCCTTAAACGACTCTGGCCCAGTTTCCCTGTCCGAACGGATTCTCCCCTACGAACCATCAAGGTTGTTAAGATCTTCTGGAGGTGCCCTGCTCTCGGTCCCACCACCTTCGCAATCACATCTGGTGGGGACGAGGGACAGGGCCTTCTCGATGGTGGCCCCTCGGCTTTGGAACTCTCTCCCGATGGAGATCGGATCTGCCCTTTCCCTCGTGACTTTCAGAAAGCTGGCAAAATCTTGGCTTTGGAACAAAGCATTCTCAGAATGATGATCGAGTCAATAACTACTGACCACACGGGCGGATGATGATGAATTCGTGATTACCTTGACAACTTGGCTTTCTGTAATTATTTGATCTGTATTTTAATGCATTGTAATGTATTCATGTACTATGATGTTATTATGTTTTAGCTTATTTGTATATGAATTTCCTGTTGTTAGCCGGCCTGAGTCCCTCTTCGGAGGTCGAGAAGACTGGGTTATAAAAGCTCTAAATAAATAATAAATAAATAAAATAGATAGATAATAATAATAAATAAATGAATAAATAATAAAATAAATAATAAAATAAATAAAATAAATAATAAAATAAATGAATAATGAATACATAATAAAACAATAAATAAATAAAAAAAATTAAAAATAAATAAAATTATTTATTTAATTTATTTATTATATATTTACTTTATTTGTATACCGCTCTTCTCAGCCCTTAGGCGACTCAGAGCGGTTTACAAAAATTTAGGTATACACAATACAAAGTCATTAAGCATTTAAAAGCAATAGCATCAGAAGTCATTAAACATCAATATCAATACATCACTACATCAATATAACAAATCCATCAGGTCTCATCAATGAAATCAGAATCCAAACTCGTTATCCAATATTCCGTGTTCCGATAGTCAGTCAATCAATCACACTGCTTAGTCGAATGCCTGTTCAAACAGCCAGGTCTTTACTTTCCTCCGGAATGCCAGCAAGGAGAGGGTTGATCTAATATCTGCAGGAAGGGCGTTCCACAACCGAGGGGCCACCACTGAGAAGGCCCTGTCTCTTGTCCCCGCCAGGCGCGCTTGTGAAGCTGGCGGGATCGAGAGAAGGGCCTCCTCGGACGATCTTAATGTCCTAACTGGTTCATAGGAGGAGATGCGTTCGGACAGGTAGGTCGGGCCAGAACCGTTTAGGGCTTTAAAGGCTAAAGCCAGCACTTTGAATTGTGCCGGTAGCAAATTGGCAGCCAGTGGAGCTGGCGCAACAGAGGAGTTGTATGCTCCCTGAGTGCCGCTCCTGTTAGCATCCTGGCTGCCGATCGTTGGACCATTTGAAGCTTCCGAGCAGTCTTCAGAGGCAACCCCACGTAGAGAGCGTTGCAGTAGTCTATACGGGATGTGACTAGAGCGTGGACTACCGTGGCCAAGTCAGACTTCCCAAGGTAAATAATGTCCTTGTGAACCTGAATGCAGGAGAATTCTTACTTAATATAAACAAGTCATATTGGAGGAGATCAAAAATGGGCTTTGTCGTCATATCCCAAACCAGCATTGCAGTTTGTCAAAGGAGGAATTATCCACATTGGAAGCTCGGGATGCCACAAATGATACATCTTATTGTCTATGATTCGTTTAGCTGTTCTGACTTGGTCCAGCCTCATTCACAGGTTGCCAGAATTCTTACAAAGCAAGGCTTTAGTTGCCCTGCAATGTCTGAACTAGGCCCGGTTTTGCTAATTAGAGATGAGAGTAACTTGCCAGTCTCCTAGGAGAAACCCATTTTGTTTTCCTTCCCTCAGAATGCCACTGCGAGGGAGAAGACCAGCGCATCCCGCTCCTGAAGGAGGTGTTTGAAGCCTTCCCCCACACCCCTGTCAACATCGACATCAAGGTGAACAACAACACCCTCATTAAAAAGGTGAGCCTTGTCTGTCTGGTCCTGCTTTCATAGGAAATTGGGAGAGGGAGAGGATGGGAAGTTGCTGAGAGTTTGAGAAGCAGTCGACTTCGAGTAGGCAAATACACCTGTTGTTGTCATAAGGTGGCTTGCTTTGGGTTCACATTTGCAGATTTGATTATTCTCCATAGTCAACTTTCTCGATTCACACTGGAGGACCTAGAGAAGTGGTTCTCAACCTCCCTAATGCCACGACCCCTTAACACCGTTCCTCATGTTGTGGTGACCCCCAACCAGCACATTATTTTCATGACAACATCACAACTGTAGTTTTGCTCCTGTTATGAAGCATAATGTAAATATCTGAAATGCAGGATGTATTTTCATTCACTGGACCAAATTTGGCCAAAATACCCGATACACCCAAATTTGAACACTGGTAGCATTGGGTGGGGGATTGATTTTGTCATTTGGGAGTTGTAGTTGCTGGGATTTATAGTTCACCTACAATCAAAGAGCATTCCAAACTCCACCAGTGATGGAATTGAATCGATACACCCAAATTTGAATACTGGTAGCATTGGGTGGGGGATTGATTTTGTCATTTGGGAGTTGTAGTTGCTGGGATTTATAGTTCACCTACAATCAAAGAGCATTCCAAACTCCACCAATGATGGAATTTGAACCGATACACCCAAATTTGAACACTGGTGACGTTGGGTGGGGGATTGATTTTTTTTCATTTGGGAGTTGTAGCTGCTGGGATTTATAGTTCACCTACAATCAAAGAGCATTTTGAACCCCACCAATGATAGAATTGAACCAAACTTGGCACACAATTCCCATTACCAACAGAAAATACTGGAAGGGTGTGATGGGCATTGAGTTTTGGAGTTGTAGTTCACCTACATCCTGAGAGCACTGTGGACTCAAACAATAATGAATTTGGACCAAATTTGACATGAAAATCAGTATGCCCAAATGTGAACTCTGCTGGAGTTTGGGGAAAATTCTAACCCACCAAGGTTAGAATTGGGCCAAACTTTCCACACAGAACCCCCATGACTAACAGAAAATACTGTGTCTTTGGCGACCCCTCTGACACCCCCTCGCGACCCCTCCAGGGGTCCCGACCCCCAGGTTGAGAAACGCTGACGTAGAGGGTCATACAGGTAACATCTCTCTAGGAATCTCTAGGGCCTCTAGTGCCATTTTGTGGTCAGGATTACCTTCAACTGTGGGGGACTAATTCCTGAATAATAATGTCAAACCCGCACAACAGTCATCTCTCCTTTTTTGTGTGTGTATTGATCCCAGGTGTCCGAGTTAGTGACCTATTACAAGCGAGAGCATCTGACAGTCTGGGGCAGCGTCAGCCATGAGGTTGTGGAGAAGTGTCATAAAGAGGTAAGTGGCCGAGATTCTCATCCTGCTTCCTGTTGCTGCAGTTTGACACCCTTTGAACTGCCATCGCTCAGTGCGGTGTGGTCATGGGATCTCTAGTTTGGTGAAGCACCAACACTGTCTTGGTCCACTTTGTAACTGGCCTCCTGTGTTGCTCATTTGGTTTCTCTCCCCAGAACGCTCGCATCCCAATCCTCTTCTGCTTACGGCGCGTCCTCCTCCTCCTGGGCCTCTTCTACACTGGTCTCCTGCCTTTCTTTCCCATCCTGGAGGGCTTCTTGGAGATCCCCATGCCTTCCATCATCCTCAAGTGAGTGGCGTGTTTTGCATAGGAAACATGTGAAGGAAAGCGCAAGGACGGCAGTTGTCTCGGTAGTGAGAGCTTTGCGACTGAGGCTTGCAAGGGCCTTATTTTGCATTGTCTACTAGGCCTGGGCAATGCATAGTTCTAAAGTACTTACAAAACTAAAGTTCTGGTGGTGAAAATTTCAGAACTCTAACAAAACTTTCAAAATTTCATTATTATTTCATTATTGGTGATTTTTATGACAAAACCAATTAGGAACTGCCATTTATAATGAAATTTTGAGAGTCTTGTTAGAGTTTTGAAATTTTTATAGTTCACCCGCAATGAAATAGCATTCTGAACCCCACCGATAGAATTGGACCAAACTTCATAGAATCATAGAATCATAGAATCAAAGAGTTGGAAGAGACCTCATGGGCGATCCAGTCCAACCCCATTCTGCCAAGAAGCAGGAATATTGCATTCAAATCACCCCTGACAGATGGCCATCCAGCCTCTGTTTAAAGCTTCCAAAGAAGGAGCCTCCACCACACTCCGGGGCAGAGAGTTCCACTGCTGAACGGCTCTCACAGTCAGGAAGTTCTTCCTCATGTTCAGAGGAATCTCCTCTCTTGTAGTTTGAAGCCATTGTTCCATTGCGTCCTAGTCTCCAGGGAAGCAGAAAACAAGCTTGCTCCCTCCTCCCTGTGGCTTCCTCTCACATATTTATACATGGCTATCATATCTCCTCTCAGCCTTCTCTTCTTCAGGCTAAACATGCCCAGCTCCTTAAGCCGCTCCTCATAGGGCTTGTTCTCCAGACCTTTGATCATTTTAGTCGCCCTCCTCTGGACACATTCCAGCTTGTCAATATCTCTCTTGAATTGTGGTGCCCAGAATTGGACACAATGTGATTCCAGGTGTGGTCTAACCAAAACAGAATAGAGGGGTAGCATGACTTCCTTAGATCTAGACACTAGGCTCCTCTTGATGCAGGCCAAAATCCCATTGGCTTTTTTTGCCGCCACATCACATTGTTGGCTCATGTTTAACTTTCCACACAGAACCCCCACGATCAACAGAAAATACTATGTTTTTGGATGGTCTTTGGCAACCCCTCTGACACCCCCTTGCAACCCCCACAGGGGTCCCGACCCCCAGGTTGAGAAACACTGTTGTAGACCACTATTGGTCCACAGACCACAGCTTGGGAACCACTGAGCTACTCCTACCATCTACTGGTAAAATAATTCACTTTCTGGTTCTGGGTACTTTAGTGTGGCTTGAAAATGCACATACTATAAAAAAGGAAGAGTAAATGCAAGTTTTTTCATTCTGATCTTAGATTGAAAGAACCAGAGAAGATCACCAGGAGTCAACGGTTTACCATTTGGCTCACAGACACGTAAGGCTGCCTTCATTACTTCCTCTTCCTTTCTTCCTTTCTTCTAGTTGGTTGTCTAAGAACAAATCCTATCACCAAACCCTCCAGCTCTCTTTTCTCTGAGTCGCCTTCAGGCTGAAATGGGCGGGATAGAAATAATGTAAATAAAATAAATAAATTGCAGGCCCTGTTTTCTGGCTGCTGTCCCAAAGTCAATGCCTGACTCTATCACAGTTGGCGTGGGCCATGTCACTGCCCACTAATCATTGTCAAACTCAGTTGGGACACGCTCAAGTCTTCCCTGAAGGTTTGAGAAATAATAATATAATAATCTATATAAATAAAAATGTAATGTTCGTTTCTGGGATTAGCAGAACTCAAAACCCACTGGGGGAATTGACACCAAATTTGGACACAAGACATCTCTCAGGCCAACGAGTGACCATCACTTTGTTTATGTGATTTATGATTTATATAGTATTGATTGTTTATTGATTGTTTTATTTTATTGATGTTTTGTTCATTGATGTATTGCGGGCTTGGCCTCGTGTAAGCCGCATCGAGTCCCTTGGGGAGATGGTAGCGGGGTACAAATAAAGTGTTGTTATTATTATTATTATTATTATTATCACTCACAAAACACTGAAAAACACCACAGAAAAGACTTTAAAAGCCAAAAAAATAAAAATAATACATTACAACGCATGCGCAAAACCACACATATATACGCAAACACGCATATATACATATATACACACACAAAACACATATACACAGACTGGGCCACAGCAACGTGTGGCAGGGGACAGCTAGTTATAGTATAATATAATAATAATAATAATAATAATAATAATAATAATAATAATAATTTTTATTAGTATTAACAATTGGGACAGAAAAACAAGAAAACTCATGACCATTCATAATTCATTACATCCTCGCAGTGATGTTGAAGGCTCTATCTGCCTAGAAAGTCTGGGGGCAGAGGACTTCCAAGTCAAGCAGTCGAAGAAGCCACGCCCCCCCCCAGGCTCTGGCCAGAGTCCCTGGCCCGGGGCCAGCAGGCCCAGAGGACCATGCCATGTTGACCGGCTCTATCCGCCTAGAGGGGGCAGAGGACTCTTACAAGTAAGCAAGCAGTTGAAGAAGAAAAAACACCCTGGCAGAATATGTCAAGGAAAGCCAAGAACCTGCTTTAATTGAAGTAAATAATTGGAAACTTATCAAAGCACAGCAGACAAAGAGTCAGTACAAGAAAACTGCACTCCAAACCAGAGCTGACAGCTGGCACAACAAAGCCTTACATGGGCAGTTCCTTGAGAAGATTGAAGGAAAAGTTGACAAGGAGAAGACCTGGTTATGGCTCATGAATGGAACCCTGAAGAAGGAGACAAAAGGAGGCCTGATTCTTGCAGCCCATCAGAACCAATGCCATTACGGCCAGGATTGAAAAATCAGCGGATGACCCAAAATTCAGACTGTGCAAGGAAGCGGAGGAAACCATGGAGCTTCTCCTCAGCTGTTGCAAGAAAATCACAGACGGACTACAAACAAAGACACAACTCTGTGCCGAGATGATTAACTGGAACTTATGTCACAAGTACCACCTGCCAGGAGTAAAGAATTGGTGGGATCATAAATCTGCAAAGGTCGTGGAAAATGAACATGCAAAAATACGGTGGGACTTTCGAATCCAGACTGACAAAGGTTTGGAACACAATACACCAGACATCACGATTGTGGGAAAGAAAAAAGACTGGATTATGGATGTCGCCAAACCGGGTGACAGTTGCATTGAGGAAAAACAACAACAGGAGAAACTCAAAATCGAACAGAAAAGGCTCTGATGGCATCAACCAGTCCAGGTGGTCTGAGTGGTCATGGGCGCACTGGGCGCCGTGCCAAGAGATCTCAGCCGGCATTTGGAAACAATACACATCGACAAAATCACGATCTGTCAACTGCAAACGACCACCTGACTTGGATCTGCGCGCATCATTCGAAAATACATCACACAGTCCTAGACGCTTGGGAAGGGTTCGACTTGTGATTTTGTGATACGAAATCCAGCAGAGAGATCTCGTTTGCTGTGACATACTGTGCTTTTGTGTCAGTAAAATAATAATAATAATAATAATAATAATAATAATAATAATAATAATACATCACATAGTCTTAGACGCTTGGGAAGTGTTTGACTTGTGATTTTGTGATACGAAATCCAGCATAGAGATCTCGTTTGCTGTGACATACTGTGCTTTTGTGTCAGTAAAAAAAATAAAATAATAATAATAATAATAATAATAATAATAATAATAATACATCACATAGTCTTAGACGCTTGGGAAGTGTTTGACTTGTGATTTTGTGATACGAAATCCAGCATAGAGATCTCGTTTGCTGTGACATACTGTGCTTTTGTGTCATTAATAATCTGCACGCATCATTCGAAAATACATCACACAGTCCTAGGCGCTTGGGAAGGGTTCGAATTGTGATTTTGTAATAGAAATCCAGCATATAGGTCTCGTTTGCTGGGACATACTGTGCTTTTGTGTCAGTAAAATAATAATAACAACAACTTTATATGCATCCCGTCCCATCTCCCCATCAGGAACTTGGGACCAAAATCTATTTTGATAGTCCGTCCATCCCCGCAAATTCTGTTTATCTCTGGTGTGTATTTGTGTGCATATATATCTTTTCTCCAGGTAATCCGAATATACAAGCCATTTGTACGACATTTGAGTAGAACCGTGGGTTTAATTTTACTTTACAACCACCAGATCTTCCCTGATAGCCATTTTGATGTTTGTGTTTGTTTGGAGACATACAGATGGTTTTTCTTTCGTTGTCATTGCAGATTGTTAATGAGGAAAGCATTATTTGACCATCTCACTGCCCGAGGGATTCAGGTAGGCTACTATGTTTATTATGGGGAGCTACTCATAGGGCCGTATTCTCCTAAGGAAAAACTTGGTAGTATACATGGAGTACTTCCTCATTCTTTCATGCACTGCTGGAGATTTTTATGGCATTGTAAATTAGTTAAATTAGCCACCCCGCATAAAACGGTAACTAAATTTCCTACTTGTCAGGTGCAACTGTCTTTCAGGTTGCAAAGGTCAACAGTAAGCTAGTCAAATGGTCGGGAGCTTACTCTGACCTGACCTAGCTGCCTTTGAACTCATGACCTTTCGGTCAGTGGTGATTTAATGCAGCGGACTCCTAGCCAATTGCACCATAGCCCAGTTTACTGCTCTGTAAACATTTATTTACTATATTTTATTTTATTTACTATATTTGTATACCGCTTTTCTCAGCCCTCGGGCGACTCAAAGCGATTAACAATAGCAAAATTCAATGCTCAGGACAACATAAAACAGTTTAAAACAATTAAAACAGTAGCATATTAAACAATCAATTATAATAAATAATAATAATCAACTTTATTTATACCCTGCTACCATCTCCCAAGGGACTCGGTGCAGCTTACATGAGGCCGAGCCCACAATACAACAATACAAGCAATAACAACCACATTACGAAGCAAAATACAACTACTATACATCAATAAACATCTCGTTGGCGTCTCATAATTAGAATCAGGATCCAGTTTCATCATCCAATGGTTCCATATTCCTATATTCTTTACACTGCCTATTCAAATGCCTGCTCAAACAACCAGGTCTTCACTTTCCCCCGGAATGATAACAAGGAGGGGGCCGATCTAATAATCTGTAGGAAGGGCATTCCACAGCCGAGGGGCCACCACTGAGAAGGCCCTGTCTCTCGTCCCCGCCAGACGTACTTGTGATGCAGGTGGGACCGAGAGCAGGGCCTCCTGAGACGATATTAATGTCCTAGTGGGTTCATAGGAGGAGATGCGATCGGACAGGTAAGTTGGGCTTGATAGGCTAAAGCCAGGGCTTGATAGGCTAAAGCCAGCACTTTGAATTGTTCCTCAGGTACTGCTTTAGCCCTTTAGTTGTACCTGATACGATAAGCAACTTTGGATTTGGTTTTGGCAGAAAGATGAGGTATAAATCAACACTGGTACGTAGTGGTCTAGGTGTTGGACTGTGATTCCAAAGACCACAGATTGCTTGGCCACAAATGCACCTTGAGGGTGACTTTAGCAAGCCACACTCTCTCAGCCTCAGGATCATAGAATCCTAGAATCCTAGAGTTGGAAGAGACCTCCTGGGCCATCATCCAGTCCAACCCCATTCTGCCAAGAAGCAGGAATATTGCATTCAAAGCACCCCCGACAGATGGCCATCCAGCCTCTGTTTAAAAGCTTCCAAAGAAAGAGCCTCCACTACACTCCCTCCGGGGCAGAGAGTTGCACTGCTGAACAGCTCTCACAGTCAGGAAGATCATAGAATCTTAGAGTTGGAAAAGACCTGGTGGACCATCATCCAGTCCAACCCCATTCTGCCAAGAAGCAGGAATATTGCATTCAAAGCACCCCTGACAGATGGCCATCCAGCCTCTGTTTAAAAGCTTCCAAAGAAGGAGCCTCCACCACACTCCGGGGCAGAGAGTTCCACTGCTGAACGGCTCTCACAGTCAGGAAGTTCTTCCTCATGTTCAGATGGAATCTCCTCTCTTGTAGTTTGAAGCCATTGTTCCCTTGCATCCTAGTCTCCAAGGAAGCAGAAAGGAAGCTTGCTCCCTCCTCCTCCCTGTGGCTTCCTCTCATGTACTTATACATGGCTATCATATTAGTAATATTACATTTAATATAAAATATATAATTTTAATATGCTATTATTAGTAGTATTATATTGTATTATATTATAATATCAATGGAGGTGGGTCCAAAAGTGGCTGTGGAGTCCTATTCTTGACCCACACCATAGAATCCTAGAATCCTAGAGTTGGATGAGACCTCCTGGTCCATCATCCAGTCCAATCCCATTTTGCCAAGAAGCAGGAATATTGCATTCAAATCATCCCTGACAGATGGCCATCCAGCTTCTGTTTAAAAGCTTCCAAAGAAGGAGCCTCCACCACACTCCGGGGCAGAGAGTTCCACTGCTGAACGGCTCTCACAGTCAGGAAGTTCTTCCTCATGTTCAGATGGAATCTCCTCTCTTGTAGTTTGAAGCCATTGTTCCATTGCGTCCTAGTCTCCAGGGAAGCAAAAAGGAAGCTTGCTCCCTCCTCCTCTGTGGCTTCCTCTCACATATTTATACATGGCTATCATATCTCCTCTCAGGCTTCTCTTCTTCAGGCTAAACATGCCCAGCTCCTTAAACCGCTCCTCATACGGCTTGTTTTCCAGACCTTTCATCATTTTGGTTGCCCTCCTCTGGACACATTCCAGCTTGTCAATATCTCTCTTGAATTGTGGTGCCCAGAATTGGACACAGTATTCCAGGTAAAGTGGTCTAACCAAGGCAGAATAGAGCATGGGGAGCATGACTTCCCTAGATCTAGACACTAGGCTCCTATTGATGCCTGAGGCCAAAATCCCATTGGCCTGCATCAATAGGAAGGCAATGGTAACCTGACTTGACCATGGTGGTCCACACTCTGGTTGCATCCCGTATAGACTACTGCAACACTCTCTAAGTGGGGTTGCCTCTGAAGACTGCCCAGAAGTTACAACTAGTCCAAAGTGCGGCAGCCAGATTACTAACAGGAGCAGGGTACAGGGAGCATACTACTCCTCTGTTGCACCAGCTCCACTGGCTGCCAATTGGCTTCCGAGCACAATTCAAAGTGTTGGTGTTGACCTATAAAGCCCTAAACGACTCCGGCCCAGTTGGAGTCGTCGGCCCAGTTGTCCGAACGGATTCTCCCCTACGAACCATCAAAGTTGTTAAGATCTTCTGGAGGAGCCCTGCTCTCGGTCCCACCACCTTCACAATCATGTCTGGTGGGGACGAGAGACAGGGCCTTCTCGATGGTGGACCCTCGGCTGTGGAACTCTCTCCTGATAGAGATCAGATCTGCCCCCTCCCTCCTGACTTTCAGAAAGATGGTAAAATCTTGGCTCTGGAACTTAGCATTCTCAGAATGATGATCAAATCGATAACTGTTGACCACAAGGTGGATGGTGGTGAATTTGTGATTTACCTTGACGCATTGGCTTTATGTAATTCTTGATCTGTATTTTAATGTGTTTTAAATGTTGTTATGCTTCAGTTTATTTGTATATTGATTCTCTGTTGTTAGCCGGCCTGAGTCCCTCCTCGGAGGGTTATAAAAGCTCTAAATAAATAAATAATAAATTAATTAATAAATAAACCCCCCTTTGAACAAAGCTTGCCAAGAAAACCCTGTGTTAAGTTCTCTTTAGGGTTCTCGTGGGTCAGAAACTATTTGCAGGCATGCCAAGAAGGCAGGTGTCAGTGGCCTTGCTTCTGATCATGCTGAGGTAGACCTGTGTGGATTCTTCGCGCTTTCTGAGCCTCTCCTCCCTGTTGTTCTCTCCTCCAGGTCTATATCTGGGTGCTCAACGAAGAGCAGGAATACCAGCGAGCATTTGACCTGGGAGCCACCGGTGTGATGACAGATTACCCCACAAAGCTGAAGAACTTCTTGCACGCCTACCCCGCATAACGCAAACGCAGGGGCAGGGGCTCTTGTAGAGAAGTGTGGGGTGCGCGGGAAAGCGGGGGAGTGACTGGAACAGCACAAGAAAAGGCCAGAGAGGGACCACCCTCTCTCTCTTCTCTCTCTCTCTTCTCTCTCTGTTTCCCCCCTTCTTCAGCGTTGCCGCCTCCCAGTGAGGGCCGACACAAGCAGCTGGATCATCATATTACCTCATTCTTTAAGTCACGACACTTCTAGAGATGGTACACAGCTCTATTTATTTACAGTTTTTAACGAGACGTAGTTTACATTTCCTTTTTTTGTAAATAGCATGAGTAGCGGCTTCTTCCCTTAGTTGGAGAGAGACGCCTCAAAAGAGAGATGCCGACAGGGTCAGTTTGTAGAGGTGAGAGTCCTAACGTCACTGTCTGTCGCTTCTCACTTAGGCTTCACCACGTTTGCACATGGGAAACATTCCAGCACGACTATTATTTTTTTTTAATCTTGCAATGAGTATGTAAAGATTTTTAAACTGACTAGTGTGGGAAAAAAACACCCTGATTGTCACAGGTGAGATTTTTTTTTCATGTCAGGAGCGACTTGAGAAACTGCAAGTCGCTTCTGGTGTGAGAGAATTGGCCGTCTGCAAGGACGTTGCCCAGGGGATGTGACCTGGATGTTTTGATGTTTTTCTCATCCTTGTGGGAGGCTTCTCTCATGTCCCCGTTTGGGGAGCTGGAGCTGACAGAGGGAGCTCATCCACCTCTCCCCGGATCCGAACCTGCGACCTGTCGGTCTTCAATCCTGCCGGCACAGGGGTTTAACCCACTATGCCACCGGGAGCAGGTGAGATGAGGATGGCACTGAGAAGGAGATTTGGGTGATTCTCCCAGTTCCAACATTCGGTACTGTATTGACAACAAGAGCCTTTTGGAAGGGGGCTGAAGCCCCAAATTCTGCCTTTGCTTTTCTCCTCCTTCTTACTCCTGGGAAGAAACTGTTGGTTTCAATTCAGCCTCATGTATATCTTTGCTCCATACAACAACAACAACAACAACACTTTATTTTTACCCCACCACCATCTCCCCAAGGAGACTCGGGGCGGCTTACATAAGGCCAAGTCCAGCAATACAATCTATATAAATAAAGATGTCATGTTCGTTTGTGGGATTAACAGAACTCAAAAACCACTGGATGAGTTGACACCAAATTTGGACAAAAGGACACCTAACAACCCAATGTATGTCCTTCACTCAAAAAAATTGATTTTGTCTTTTGGGAGTTGTAGTTGCTGGGACTTATAGTTCACTTAAAGTCAAAGAGCATTCTGAACCCCACCAATGATGGAATTGAACCAAACTTGGCACACAGTTCTCCCATGACCAACAGAAAATACTGGAAGGGTTTGGTGGGCAGTGTCCTTTGGTTTTGGAGTTGTAGTTCACCTACATCCAGAGAGCACTGTGGACTCAAACAATGATGGATCTGGACCAAACTCTACACAAATACTCAATATGCCCAAATGTGAACACTGGTGGAGTTTGGGGGAAATAGAATCTTGACATTTGGGAGTTGTAGTTGCTGGGATTTGTAGTTCACCTACAATCACATAGCATTCTGAATCCCACCAACGTTAGAATTGGGCCAAACCTCCCACACAGAACCGCCATGACCACCAGAGTGGGCCACAGCAACGCGTGGCAGGGGACAGCTAGTACATCAATATAACAGAACACAGCAGTAAATCATAAAAATAGAAATACACCAGAGTGAGCCACAGCAACGCGTGGCAGGGGACAGCTAGTACATCAATATAACAGAACACAGCAGTAAATCATAAAAATAGAAATACAATACAAAACCAATTATAAATAACACATCAACAATATAAAATCACAACATTTAAAACACCAAAGTCAAACACTATGGGCAGGGCCAATTGTAATGGAATTAAATATTGAAAACACTGGTTGAGACTCCCGTGGGTTTGTCCAAGGAGTTCCTAAAGCCCATTTCGAGCGTAGTTCATGATGTTGGCCTTCTTCTCTGACCAAAAGTGATGCTTACCACTGAGTAATAATGCTGCTTGTTAGTTGGGATCGGTGTAGTCGGTATGTTGTACAACACCGCTATTCCAGCTTTTTATTTTGAAATGAAAGTATTTTCAGAAGAATTTGCAGCCACTGCTTGCCGAAGGAACCAATGGTTCATCATGATGAGACATGATCGTGAGGCTGTGATAGGGCTGCAACCTTTTCTTAGCATCATTCGAATCTGTAATTCCAGGTTTACGTCTCCCAGAATATTGCTTTTTATTGACGCTGCTAGAAATCCCCCTCTGTGCTCTTGGAAGAGTGTCGCTTCAACGTAGGACAGCTCTAACAAGTCTTTGTGAATCAAATAATAGGGTTGTCATGTATCTGCAGACGTACTTTGGTCCCCTGAGTCTATCTCGCCTTCCATGTGCAAGGATATATTCCCGATATAGCTGGAAAAGGTAGTTTATTTGGTGTTTCTGATTGTAATTGCAGTGCTGAAGTGTAATGGGAGCAAGCCACGGGTGGAAGGAGCCCAGAGTGGGGTGGTATGCTGTTCGATAATGGACCTGGGTTCACAATCGTCAATGTTTAACTCTCGAGTCTAATCTTTCTGTGTCAGTTTGGAAGATCTCTGTTGTTAGAGGAACCTGATATAAATGTGACTTTGGGCTCTTCACTATGGGGAGATCGTTCCCTTTGGGAGCTGTAGAATGTAGCATTCAGTCTTGATTTAAATTGTACTGTGAAATAGGTAGCGGGTTTTTGCAAAGCTTTGGTTCAAAATACTTCTGGCGCAGTGGTTCTCAACCTTTGACTCCTAAATATAGTTCCTCATGTTGTGGTGACCCCCAACCGTATTTTCGTTACTACTTTACAATGGCTACTGTTATGAATTGTAATGTAAATATCTGATATTCAGGATGGGCATGTGCTTCCTGCACCAACTCTCATCCCCCGCGCTCTTACCAATACCAGGAGAAGGCCTAAGCTTCTCCGGGCCTTTCTGGCACCCTGTGGATGGCGCGCGGGGCCTAACGACCCCTCAGAAATTGTCAAACAACCCCTCTGGGGGGCGCGACCCCCAGGTTGAGAACCACTGTTCTGGCAAAACATGCTCCCTGCAGGAGGGGGTGGGGCCTAATGAGGTGTTGCCGCGACCCCTCAGAAATTGTCACACGACCCCTCTGGGGGGCGCGACCCCCAGGTTGAGAACCACTGTTCTGGCAAAACATGCTCCCTGCGGGAGGGGGCGGGGCCTAATGAGGTGTTGCCGCGACCCCTCAGAAATTGTCACACGACCCCTCTGGGGGGCACGACCCCCAGGTTGAGAACCACTGTTCTGGCAAAACATGCTCCCTGCGGGAGGGGGCGGGGCCTAATGAGGTCTTGCCACGAGCCCTCAGAAATTGTCAAACAACCCCTCTGGGGGGCGCGACCCCCAGGTTGAGAACCACTGTTCTGGCGAAACATGCTCCCATCGCATTAAAGTGAACGTTCTTCACGATCACTGTGATAGATCTGGCCCTCGAGTCCTACCCCTTCCTCTCCTTTCCCCTTTCACCCTCAGGATCCGCCCCTGAATTAAATGCTTGGGCTTCTGTGGACCAATGGATGTATTGTTTTGTGGGTACGCCATTGTAAAATAGAATAAACACGTAGATGTATATTGATGCACATTTTGACCTTTAATGCAGAGCTGTTGAATCAGTTGCATCACCCCAAAACTGTATTCATGTTTGCATCCTGTGCCCACTTTGCAACCCAATGGGGTTGCTTCTCACTGGGGGGAAAATGCTAACTTTGTGAAGTCAATTTGTGAAGGTATTTTTGCATCGTGACTATTATAAGATGGAAACGCCTGTAGACATTCTTTTCACCTGGACTTGTATGACTCCAAAAGCATCCTCTTCCTTCCTTTGGACAAAGGAGCTGATGAAGTTCACGAATGCCGTAGACAAGAACGCAAGAGTCTCTTCTGATTGTTGTAAGATGTTGATGTGGAAATAACTTTGATACTCTGTTCTGGATGTTTGAGAAAAGGAAGAGTGTTGTAAATGTAATGAAGGATTTTATGGTACCTGTCATACCTGTGAAACATTCCTCTTGCGTTCGTTCATTTATTCGTTTACTTCATTTCCTCTCGCACCAACTGTCTTTTGAAAGAAAACTAGAGATGTGATACTTGATATTTAAAATATATATTAAGACATGCTCCAAAGTGTCAAAAGAACCATTGCCTTTTAAAAATAGGCCTGGCTAAAGAAATTCTGTGATTTTTTTTCCTCCCATTTTTTTTTTTTTTGCATTGTGTTCCTTGCGTAGTGAATCGTTATAGATTGTAAGGAAAGGTAAAAGTTTCCCCTGACATTAAGTCTCTGCCCTGGAGCGTGGGGGAGGCTCCTTCTTTGGAGTCTTTTAAACAGAGGCTGGATGGCCATCTGTCAGGGGTGATTTGAATGCAATATTCCTGCTTCTTGGCAGAATGGGGTTGGACTGGATGATGGCCCAGGAGGTCTCTTCCAACTCTTTCATTCTATGATTCTAAGTCCAGATCTGGTGCTCATCTCCATTTCTAAGCTGAAGAGCCGGCGTTGTTCATAGACACCTCCAAGGTCTTGTGGCCGGCATGACTGCGTGGAGCGCCGTTTATTATTTATTTATTTACTACACTTTGATCCCGCCCTTTTCAGCCCGAAGGCGACTCAGAGCGGTGTACAGATTGGCAACATTAGATGCCGAACACACATAAATACATTTAAAAGGTAAAGGTTGTCCCCTGACATTAAGTCCAGTTGTGTCTGACTGGGGTGTGGTGCTCATCTCCATTTCTAAGCTGAAAAGCCGGCGTTGTCCATAGACACCTTCAAGGTCTGCATGGAGCGCTATTAACTTCCTGCCAGAGCGATACATATTGATCTACTCACATTTGCATGTTTTCGAACTGCTAGGTTGGCAGAAGCTAGGGCTGACAGCGGAAGCTCACGCTGCTCCCCGGAATCGAACCTGTGACCTTCCAGTCAACAAGCTCAGCAGCTCAGTGCTTTAACCACTGCACCACCGGGGGCTGTTTTAAATACATTTAAAACAGGTTAAATCACATAATAAAAATTCATAATAAAACAATTTAAAACCATAATAATCAATGACTACCAGGTTAAAATCCATATCCATTTGCATCGTTGAGCTGTTCCATATTTGTTCACAAAACCGAGTTGTTTGGTTTCAATGGGGTTCCCAAAGCTTGCCTGAAGAGCCAGGTTTTCACACTTTCCCGTTACCTTCCCTATTAATCTACTCACATTTGCATGTTTTTAAACTGCTCAGTTGGCAGAAGCTGGGGCTAAATCGCAGGTTCAGATCCGGGGAACAGGGTGAGCTCCCGCTGTTAGCCCCAGCTCCTGCCAACCTAGCAGTTCACAAACATGCAAATGTGAGCAGATCAGTAGGTACCACTCCAGCGGGAAGGTCATGGCGTTCCATGCAGTCATGCTTGGAGGTGTCTACGGACAATGCTGGCTCTTCAGCTTAGAAGTGAAGACGAGTCCCAGAGTTGGACACGACTAGACTTAATGTCAGGGGAATCCTTTCCCTTCTCTTGATGTTGGGCAGACAATTAAGATGCCTTCCCTTTACAAAACACCTGCTTCTGGTGGTGGCAAAATTCCCAGTTTTGTTGATGAGGAGTCAGTAAATCTGCAAAGGTGTCCTGGTCACTTTTTGCAGCCCTTTGCTGCTGCTTTGCTTGTTTTGTTTGGGTTGCGATGCTCCCCTTTGCCACGAGAGAGCAGGCTAACCCAATGTTCCCCTGCGTTCTGGCCTCCAGGTCTGTGCATTAGAATTCCTTCTGAAGAGGAGATTTCTCTCTCTCTCTCTCTCTCTCTGTAGGCCTTTGGGCTGTGAGCGTGCAGGATCTGCAATGCAGCGAGGCTGGTGTTTTTCAGAAGCCACAGAGTCTCCTCCAGCCTCCAAGACATCCTGCAGCACGGTGCCAATATACATTCAAATCCCAGGGTGCACACTTCCTTTATATATTTCATCTGGACAGCAAGGCTGGAATGCAAAAGTATTGGGAGAACTCCCACGAATAATGTTTGCAAAGCATCGCAGAAATCCTTCTGCATGGACCCCAGTGAGCTGGAAGGCACATGAGTAGTTGGAATTGTGCATGGTTTCCCTTCTTGGAAAACTTTTTCTGGCCCCACCAGGCGACCCAAACTGCTTTTATTTTTGTAGCTTATGGCTCAACCACCGCTTAAGAGCTCCTGTTTGAGCCTGTTTGTTTTCCTCTT